ATACAAAACCATCCAAATAAGCTTATAGCCAAACTTCTGAAGACAAACATCATCAAGACGAGACTCAAGAAGCATAATTTAATGAGCACATAGCTAGAAAAAAATCAAACTTAAATCAGCATAAATTAAAACTAGGACAGAGTGCTCAATAGAAACTCTGTGTTAAATTATAACGGGGATTTAACCCGATTCACCCCGCTAATACAAAATATACATATATACATATATGTGTGTATGTGTGTGTGTATAGAAAAATAGGTGGAAATCTGCAGGTTAGGTTCAAGCCGTTAGCTAAACGACTGGAGAGGATGTAAGTTGCCTGAAAAGCGCGAAATACGATGGTGCGTGGATGGAACTAACGCGAAAGAATACTTAATTATTAGGTTGCGTGCGACAAAATGCTGCATAATGCGTGCATATGCGCACTCTCTTTCTCTCCGTCTCTACATTTTGACCTCGGTAGCTCCTTCGGTGATCTTTGGCGGCTGATAAAGAAATACAGTATTAGATGCATTCATGTACGAGGGTGGTCCAATAAGTACTTAGCCTACAAAAAAAACGAAAATTTTAGAAAAGTGGCGTTTTATTTTTCAACATAGTCTCCTTTTAGTTCGATACACTTGGCGCAGCGATGCTCCAACTTCTTTAACCCATCTGAAAAATACGTTTGATCGAGGTCTGTAAAGTAGGCCTACATGGCGGCGATTACCGCCTCATTCGACTCAAATTTCTGCCCGGCGAGTGACTTTTTCAAGTTTGGAAACAAAAAGAAGTCGTACGGGGCCAGTTCGTAGGGCCTGATTCGACCAATTGGGCCATGGCGACGGTGAATGTGTGAGCCGGTGCATTGTCATGGTGGAAGAGCACTTTTTTCTTTGCCAAAGGAAGCCATTTTTTCTGCAATTCGTCGTCGAATCGATCCAATAATTCGGCATAATACGGCCCTGTGACCGTTTTGCCCGTCTCCAGGTAGTCAATGTAGATAACACCTTGTGAATCCCAGAAAACGGTGGCCGTTACCTTTCCGGCCGACGGGGCAGTCTTCGCCTTCTTCGGAGCACTTTCGCCAGGTAAAGTCCACTGTTTCGACTATTCTTTGGTCTCTGGTGTATACCAGTGGATCCATGTTTCATCGACACAACGCAGAAACTTCTTCGGATTGCGCTTAAACAGCGTCAGACTCTGATCTGAAGTTGTCTCACGGTTGCGTTTGTTGTCCGGAGTGAGCAAACGCGGCACTCATCACGCCGACAGCTTTCTCATGCCTAAAATTTCATGCAGGTGTGTTCCGCATCGTCTCGTTCATGAACACAGTACTTACTGTCGGGTGTTCGTACTCTATTCATATTGTGAAGGTACCGTCATAAGTATCCGTGACCCGTCAAGAGCTCGGTGTCGTAAACATTTATATCATCAAATTTCCTTTCGAGCCACAGCCACAAATACCGTATCAGTCATTTCGTTCAGTTACCACCTCGTTCTTCTGTCCATCGACCTTGCAACATGTCGATTGTCCTGTCACGCTCGACGATTTCCGTGTTCTTTCGTCCGATGTCCGCGCTGCTCTCGTAGATCCTTTTGCGTTTAAAGGCCAGGAGATCCACAGGTATTACGCTAGCCACCATCAAAACAGCCTGCGCAGAGATTGTTTAGTAGGAGCAAGTGATTCGCAGTAAGTCCTATCTCTGTACCATCATCATTATCTTACAGTATTTCTTTGTCTTCAGGGAGTCTGCTCATATTTCCACGCCGTATAGAAGGATCGAGTGAGCTGTCGCCATTGACAGTCACCGTTTCTCCGATCTCGGTCCCGTCGTATTTGCCATCAGGCGATTCAAGGATGCTATCCTCTCTGCCGCTTTCCGGGTTGTCTTCTACATATGAGGCCAGAAGGTCATCTTCATATCGAGGGTTACCCCAAGATATTTGACTTCCCTCTTGGTCTTCATCTCGTATGTCCTCATCCTCATGTGTAGTATCGTCTGTATGCGTCTTCTCATGAGAAACGTCAGTTCCATCTTTTCTGTTTTAAATTGCAGTCCGTGGTCTGTCATCCATCGTCCAACTCGTCTCATGAGCTGGTTCAACGTCAGCTGCATCAGCTCGGGGGACCTCTCCGTAATCACCGCCACCACGTCATCAGCGTAGGTGACGAGAGTCACTCCAAGCGGCATCCCAAGCCGAAGCAAGCTATCATATAAACCATTCCAGAAGTTAAGTCCCAGTGCCAACCCCTGTGCCACCCCACCTGTCTCGTTATTGTCCTTTGATCGTCTCGTACATTATCCGTCTGTTTTTCAGGTAATCCTCCACAACTCGAAACAGGTATGATTGGATCCCGAAGTTGCTTTTCAACGCCTCCAAGATATCCTCCACTCGGCCGAGTTGAAAGTATTCCTAATGTCGAGCGTCGCCAGCAACAATATAGGTCACGCCGGGTGGCAGTGTCTGTCTAGTTTAAGGAAAGAGTCGACCACCTTTTGGATTACTCCAATCGTCGATCGACCCTTCCTGAAATTGAACTGCAAGTCTGAGAAACTCCCTTCGGTTCGTATCGTTCCCAACAGTCTCGGTCTCAGCAGTTGTTCAAAGAGTTTACCAGTCGTGTCAAGTAAACTTAACGGTCGGTAGGCCGAAGGCGTGCTAGGATCGCTCCTACATTTTGGAATAAGGACGAGCCTTGTCACTTTCTACTGGTCGCTGAACGTTCCTGTCGTCAAGCACGTGTTGTACAGGTCGAAAAGTATATCAGCCTGTAGACGAGCCACGAGCAGGAGGATTATTATTATTATTATTAATATTATTAATAGTATATCTTACACACGTCTCTTTAACATTACTGAAAGTTCAAACGTAAATGATAAAAAAAAATAATAAATTTTAGTGGAAATCATACAATGAAAATTATACAATCAGGTACAAATAAATAACAAAGTCAGAAGGATATAAAAAACTTTAAGCCATTTACATGCAATATACTGTACTTTTCGTGTTATATGAAAAAAGGAAGAGAAAAACTTTTATCATGTAATTATTCTTTCATAAGATAATCACATCCATATTTTTAAATCGTCTATCAAGTAGCATAAGCCTCAGCATGTCAGTACACTAGACCCGGTAAAAACCCGGTAAGATGACGGTAAAATAGATGGATTTTGGGTTAGCGAGGACCGATTAACATGACAATAACTCCGATAATAACATGACAACACACTATCATCGGTAACGCAACTGATGGTGTCGACTGGATTGGTAAATTGTGTCAGGATAGCCAATACTGCTACCGTAGATATTCAGGCAGACATGTGAGACCGTAAACGAGGTATACCTAGAATATATCTAGAATAGAAAATATCTGGAGATAACGTCGATTAAATGTATTTGCTATAAGAACAGTTGTAGTGATGGTAAAAGTAATATAGTAATTGGACATTGGAAGCATTGCGAAAAATATTGCGTAACTTCGATGTGAACAAACGAACATGCATGTCATTTATTTTTAGATAGTTATGCATGATGTACGAGGTGTGATCAAAAAGTAAGGTGAATTTTTATTTTTCTCAAAAAATATTTATTTATTCATCAATTTTTATTTTATCTCCATCAAAGTAATCCCCCTCGGATATAATGCACTTGTGCCAACGCTTTTTCCAATCCTCAAAGCATTTCAAAAAATCATTTTTTGTGATCTTGTTTAGTTCATCCTTCGATGCCGTCTTTATCTCCTCAATCGTGGCAAAACGCCGTTCTTTCATGGGCCTCTTCAGTTTTAGGAACAAGAAGAAGTCACAGGGGGCCAGATCTGGGGAATACGGTGCCTGTGGCATCGTTACTGTGATGGTTTTAGCCAAAAATTCGCGCACAAGCAACGATGTGTGAGCAGGGGCGTTATCATGGTGCAAAAGCCAATTTTTATTTTTCCACAAATTCGGACGTTTCTGGCGGATTGCTTCGCGCAAATTGCGCATAACTTACAGGTAATATTCCTTATTTACTATTCTACCCTGTGGCAAGAACTCATGATGCACCACGCCCCTGCAGTCAAAGAAAACTGTAAGCAAAACCTTTACATTTGATCGAACTTGGCGTGCTTTTTTTGGTCTTGGTGATCCAGAATGCCTCCACTGGGACGATTGAGTCTTAGTCTCGACGTCATAACCGTATACCCATGTTTCGTCACCTGTTATAACCCTGTTGAGTAAATCTGGATCATCGTTGACGTCATTCAGTAGCTCTTGGGCGATGCTCATGCGACGTTTCTTTTGGTCGAAATTGAGCAATTTCGGAAAAAACTTCGCTGACACACGTCTCATGTCTAAAACACTCGTCAAAATTGATTGGTACGAACCAAATGAGATGCCAATATCATCAGCAATTTCTCTAATGGTAATTCAACGATTTCCCAACACTATTTTCTTCACTTCTTCAACATTCTCATCAGTTGTTGATGTGCTGGGGCGTCCAGAACGAGGTTCGTCGTCGGTGTCTTCTCGGCCTTCTTGGAAGAGTTTATACCACTTGTAAACATTTTTTTGGCTTCAAGTAGACTCACCGTATGCCACTTTCAGCATTTCAAGTATTTTGGAACATTTGATTCCATTTTTCAAACAAAATTTAATGCAAACTCTTTGATCCATGTTTTTAGACAGCAGCAAATCGTGGAGCACACAAAACACTTCTAACCTTGATGCCTCTCACAAACAAACCAAACATACTACAAAGCTGAAATTTGGAACGTATGTTCTAGACGAGTGTACCGACATAACCAAATAAAAAAGTCGAAGATCGAACGGACGTAGCCCGCTAAATTTCAAAATTCACCTTACTTTTTAATCACACCTCGTACTTTTATTTTTCATCTACGTTTTCTTGATTTTTATTTTGAATAAAATATTATAGTTTAAATATTAATTTTTTTGTTAAAATTATGCATTCTTACCTTACTATTATCAAGCGATAACTAAAATATAAAATAAAATGACGTAAGATATAATACATACCTTCAGTTCTTCAGAAGTTACTAGACCAACGTTCAATATTCTTTCTTTAAAACTTGTAAGTGGATCTCTGGTCTGCCTAACTTCTTGAATTTCTTCTCTAGTTCTGTAGCTAGTTCCAGGATCTGACATGCTGTGACCGCTATACCTATATGTGAATGTTTCCATTACTAACGGACCTTTTCCTGATATGCAATAATCAATTGCAAATCTTGTTGCTTCCCTTACGGCTAAGACATCCATACCGTCTACCTAATTAAATATACAAGATATTTAATAAAGAATTCAATCTTACATCAACCTTAAAACATCATCGCAATGATCAGCTTAAACAATATTCATTATTCAACCTGCCTATGAAAGAAGCGATATATTTGTTAAGTAACTATTTCTAAAATATATTATTCTTTTCTTCGTTTCTATCTTTTCAAAAAGGAGCATAACATAACTAGAAAATATCAGTACATAATACAGAAAAGGCTAGTCTAAAATAAATTTAACAAATAAATATAAGTCTCCATTGTATTTTTTACTTCAAAGATGAATGGTTTTGATGCTCTTTCTAAGATTAACTTTCTAAGACTTCTCAGACTTTGTAATATGTATCAAATATCATATTTTTCAGGTAATATATAAAATAATACTTGATATTGCCTATGTAATAAATTAGAATAGTAGTAGATGAAAAGAAAGCTTAAATAAAAACAGATAATATACCTAACAATAGTTGATATTCATTTGTATTTTGTGCGTATTTCTACTTTTGCATCGTAGTATTATTATTCGAAGCAATATGAAGTGCGAAGACGTACGCACACACGCATCAATCGTCTGTTGGATGTGTGTGTGTGAGAGAGAGAGAGAGAGAGAGAGAGAGAAAGAGAGAGAGAGACAGTTGCAGGCATACACGAAACCAAGAGAGACGACAAATGACCAAACCGTAGATCGACGGAAATAGCCGAACCGAGCACACGATATTTGATTCTCATCCGAGAGACTCATGTGAAATGAAGAGCGAGCCTTGAGGTTTTTTCAGGTCGATCGTTGTGATAACATCGTGTCTGCGAGTCGCGATAGAGGAAAGCTCGACATACTCCCCCTTTTCAAGCAGATCTACACCTTCAAGTGAAGACGCAATCCGTCGTCAAGCCCCTTGACGACAGCGATTACCTTGAGGTAAAATAAGTCCAAGGTGCATCGAGGAACAAACCAAAAGCAATTTCGCCGTTTCTGAGCGTAGCCCGGCGTCGATTCGACTTGTAAGTAGCGCATAATTGTCTCTCTCTCTCTCTCTTTCTCTCACGCGATCTTAAAAGGTGCAGGAGCTCAGTGGAGCTTCTGATTACTCGTTTTTAAGAAGCCCATCTGCGGGGCAAATATAGGTCAAATATCCAATAAATCGAGTCAGTACGGCATGTAATTCTTGCGTTTAATTGGAAATCGCATGACCTAATTCTTTCGCTTTTAGCACATTTACTATATAAATGAAGACGGGTGAACCCTGTTACTCCTACGCAAAACTGAGAGAAGCAAGTTATATTGAACTGAGTAAGCCGCTGCACAATCCGAGTTGAACGGATAAATCGTGTGCTCAATTTCAGAGTTGTAAAAAGGGTTGGTAAATAACCACGAAGTAGCTCTGTTATAAATAGCGGTTAACAGTAGTTTTAAGATTTACAGCTTGCAGCGTCTTAATTCTATTTTTTTTACAATTCATTTTTATCAAATTTCATGCTTTCAAAAATTTTTTGAGATAGTAACAAAATTTTCCCTTAAAATTTCCCTTAAAAATTCGAAAAATTTTCAAAATCAAGGACATACTACGGTCAATACATGTAAGCAGAGCTAGCATACTAACTGTATTTCGGTTCGCTAATGTGAAGACGTGCACGCTCGAAACAAACATCACGCAATCATAGTGTGTTTTTATTTTTCATTTCATAATGTCGCGATTCCAGGGTTACGTAAGCGATAAGATTGATTTTCGGAAATCAGAATCGAGAAAAAATAGGAACATCTGTAACTATCGAAGAGGAAATTTATTTTAGTTGGTTTTAAAAAGATTAAATACTTAATAGAGGTAAATAGAATAATTATTTGTGACCAGTGCGGAAAGAGCCTATTTCCTCAGCGAGATTCGTATGCGAGCAAACGAATGGCAAAGTACAAGAAAGAAAGAAAATGAATCGACCAAATTAAATTGGCGTACAGATTTTTCTTTAGTTTCAGCCAATTAATACAAAACTTTCTCTTATTAATTTAGGTAGATGTAGGATATTTTTTTAGTCGGCAGACAATAATTGCATATACTAGAGTTAAGTAATATAATATTCCGATTTTTTTTCTGCATACGCACTTGATAATTGGGTTGGTGCTTGAAAAAAATTACGAAATATACTATATATAATTTTATACGGTTAACCTTCACTCGATTAAACGTTCAAATACATATACACACATACTTGTATACATTAAATTCAGAAGACATAAACTCTGTGATCAGAACAGGCAGCAGTCTATTTCTTGCTTGCTCTTCTCTCTCTCCCCTCTACTGAAAAGTGCAATGGTCAGTATTAGCTGCACTACGAGGGTGGTCCGATAAGTACTTAGCCTCACCGCCCGATGGCGCCACTCTTGTAAAAGAAATATTCTATCACGTAATACAACCTTCTCGATGGTTACTGTCAAAATTTCATCGACTATCTGGAGAGGGGCAAAACGGTCACAGGGCTGTACTATGCCGAATTATTGGGCCGATTCGACGTCGAATTGCAGAAAAAACGGCCCCATTTGGCGAAGAAAAAAGTGCTCTTCCACCATGACAACGCACCGGCTCACACCTCCGCCGTCGCCATGGCCAAATTGGTCGAATTAGGCTACGAACTTCTGCCCCATCCACCGTATTCACCAGATTTAGCCCAGTGCGACTTCTTTTTGTTTCCAAACTTGAAAAAGTCACTCGCCGGGCAGAAATTTGAGTCGAATGAGGAGGTAATCGCTGCCACGGAAGCCTACTTTTCAGACCTATTTTTTATTTTTTTCAGGAAACGTATTTTTCAGACGGGTTAAAGAAGTTGGAGCATCGCTGCGCCAAGTGTATCGAACTAAAAGGAGACTATGTTGAAAAATAAAACGCCACTTTTCCAAAATTTTCGTTTTTCTTTTGTAGGCTAAGTACTTATCGGACCACCCTCGTATATGAATGCGTCTAATAATGTATTTCTTTATCAGCCGCCAAAGATCACCGAAGGAGCTACCGAGGTCAAAATGTAGAGACGGAGAGAAAGAGAGTGCGCATATGCACGCATTATGCAGCATTTTGTCGCACGCAACCTAATAATTAAGTAGGAAGAGCTTGGCAAGAGCGTGGTCACTGGCCGCATGATGTGACATTCGATACTTGGCCCTGATTCGCTAATCACGTTGTTCGTCTTGAGTTAGCCCTCATTTTGCTGTTTGGTTTGTCTTTGCGGTCACGCGGGTGCACGCGGTACAACTTGCAACTCATCTTCGACATTAGCCAGCGTCAACGAGAGGCAAAAAAGAAGAGAATAGAGCCAACAACCGTGGTACCTAGTCGGCTACCTCCAAGGTTTCATCTACTTCTCCGAGGCAGCACTCATCGCCCGCAGAAGACTTGCATCTAATTTAATCTAATCTCATCTTCTCCCCGATTACATTTAGAGCGAAAGTGACTCTCTTGCCCTTCCCCTTGAAAAATGAGTAACAGCGCGGTAAATCTATTACAACTCACTATCAGTAATACACATTTTGGAGCAGAGACTCGATCGTTCAAAAAGCATTTTGAAACAATATATAACTTATTTTTATTTCTTTCTATTTCGTTGGTTAATCACCAAGTGCGCATTTTGTTTGTTTTGTTATTCTTCGTTCAAAATAAGTCACCAAAATTACTTTCTAGGACGAAGAACGAACGGAAAAATATGATAAATATAACCCGAAAGATTTCAATAGTGACGGTAACAGCAAAAGCGATCGCGAGAAATGGCTGGAGGATTTAATCGCCGATGCCGAAGAAAAAGAAAAAAAACGATTAACGATGCAAATTGCGTCCAATTAACTGAGTTAACAGGAGTACCTGAATCAATCCAGAAATTAATAGATGAAGATCTATCGAAAGCTTAGATTTACGAACCGACGGAACGATAGAAATTAAGCGCAAACGATTATTGAATCGAACCACACGTGAATACATGCAAAATGATTTCCAAGACAGGAAAGCAAGTCATGAATCGAGAGATGAGATGATAGAAGCGTATCTGAATAACCTCGACAACACAATCGATAACGCGAATGGAAAAATGCAAGAAAAGCCGACCACGGTAGCCACTGGAATGGAGGAAAAATATTACATGAATAACGTACAAGGTAAAGCAGAAGTATTGAAAGAAGTCCACGACATTCTTTTCTCTCTTGGTCTCATGTTCCGTTGTAGCGACCTTGCGGTTTGAGTCTGCTCCGGGAACTGCCGCCCGCACGCCGCATTTTCCTCAGTGCAACACAATGATTGCGTCGTTTCTTGCAGTCTCTTCCGAACCCCGTCCGGTCTGTCCATCCTGTATGTTCTCATCGATTCATTCATCGGTCCACGCCCGGGCGTCGGACTACCTCGGGCATTACCTCGGTTTTCGCACGTTGTGCATTCAGTTTCTACCCTAACTCATGCGTGCACACTACCTGCTCACGCTCGGGGTTCGCTGGGGGCAATCTCGACCATTATTTATTGAATTTGACCTAATTGAACTCTTTTCTCGAACTTTCCTTGATTTTGCCGTTCGCGTATTCGCGTTGCACTGAGGCCCCAGCCCTCGCGTCACTCGCGTCTAGGTCAGTTTTTTCCTGTTCAAACTGTTTCTGAAATTCTGCGAACTTGCAATAGAGCAACTTTATGAACGTAACTTTATTCCGTCCGTTAGGCGCCCTACTACGCATTTACGTGGAACCCGTTGAGCAACTAAATTCCGCTTTCCCGAGGTAAATCCTTGAGTTTCCCAGGGCCTTAAGGGGGTATCCTCGTGTAGATCGATCAAAAAATCGATTTTTTTTGCATGAATCGATTCTATATAATTTCAAAAATATACTGTGAAAATTTCAGAACGGTATTCGAAGTGATTTTGCAGCTATGGCTATTTTCGCTCATCTGCTCCGAATACGGTGCCATGCGGAGCAGGTAAACGGATGTGCGCTCGATTACAAAGACGCCCCACGGTGATGGGATTAGTTGAAATTGA